TGCAAGTTTTGCTGGTAGACTACCTTAGGCTCCTTTCGTTCTTTCCGGGTTCGATCCTTGCCGTTATGGTTTCCGTTCTGGTAATGCTCAGGTATGCGTGTCCTCGTTTCTTGTCACTACAATTAAGATCAGGTCGAGATCGTCGTTTGTTTAGAGGAGTCTTTCTAGACGTCGTCAAGTCGAGGTCTCCTCGATATCGCCGTTACCGGGAGTTTTGTGTTAAGATTCGGTCTTTTCTGGATCATTCATCTTGCCGATTAAGTTTTCTTCGTTCTTAGATTTGGACAGGTAGTCTTATTCGCCATAGAAGGAGCCGCATTTCGTTTGTTTGGTCTCGTTGGCCTCGTCGTATTGCTTTCGCGATTGGGTTGGAGGGTTTAGGTAGTCTACTCGTGGGGCTTGTGTTATCTAGCTTTATCAATTTGTAGTTGCTTTTGTTCTTTCTCGAGACTGCGTTCCTAGTAGTTTTAAATCCTTTGATATGTTTTTCTGTATTATCTTCGTCTCCCTTTCGCAGGGCTTAGACTCCGCGGATTTGGTAGTCCGTCAGCTTAGTATTTCACAAACGCATTCCAAAAACGTATTCCACCTTTGTATTATTCCAGTGTTTGTAATAAAATCTAGATGACAAAAAAAAATGTCAACATTGTAGGACAAAAAAAAAGTGTTAACATTGTAGAATGTAAGTGTTATATTGCAAATAATTCTTTTAAAAAGTGTTTACATTATACGGGTGATTTGGTTGCGATTCTTCTTGCGGTTCTCATCGACTTCTTCCGATTTTGGCTTATCTCAACCACATTGTTGGGCATGGGCCTCATAATTGACAAATTATGAAGCCCATCGCCGAGCTCGGCCCGGCATAATTAAAAGTCCAGCGTACTTTCTAAGAAAACCCTACATAAATGTACTTTCTCATTCTAGTATAAAAGGGGGACTCCTCTCCTTGAGTTGTCCCATCACTTTTCCTCTTTGGAGTAGTACAAGAGACTAGAGAACTAACTGTTTTCTGGACTCTAATTAATCTAAGAGAGAATAAATTCTGTTCGTACATTCCGCCGGAATCGTACGAGAATTTATCAGAGAGAGTGATTTTTATACGCGCTTATCATCGATCTCGAAATACTTATCACTCAGGCCCGACCTCAGAATACGTATCAATCAACCCCGACCTCAGGATACTTGCTTACTACCCAGTTCCCGACCTCAGGAGCTCGTTACTCAGTCAGTTCGCTTATACAAGGTTCGTCAGTCTACTAAGCTTCCGAGCTCAACATCCTTTACTTTCCTTGTTCCGTTATCCTACTTGTAATCCATTTCCGAGCATAATATCAATAAACGAAGATTTCCGAGCCCCTTTACTATTTAATAAACATACTATCGAACTCGAGTATCAACATACATCTCGTTCTCGCTTGCTCTTGTTTCCTTAAGA